TTCAGTTTATGGCGCAAAGGAACTGCTGCAGCCCCTCCCGCCGTACTAGGATATGGCATTGCACGGAGTGTTTCAATCCAGGCAGGGTCGTGGCGCACACCGGGCGCATTGGTAAGCTTACCGCACCATGTTGGTAAAATTTGGACTTCTCCACGCTGAGCTTCAGGCCGAGCTCGTCCAGCAGCGAAAACAATTTCTTTAGTTTCTTTAAGTACGTGTCGGTGTCCTCTGCCTAGAGTAACAGGTCGTCAATCCATACTAGAAGGTGTTTGTAGAGCAGCGTAGCAAAACACTTCTCCATTGTCTTTTGAAAGTAAATCGCAGCATCACATCAACCTTGAGGGACACGTTGTGAAGTGTAGATCTTCTCATTAGTCATATACGAAAGTCATTCCTGGCAGAACTCGGCAAGAGGTAGCTGCCAGAAGCCCTTAATGAAATCGAAAAGTCCAAAATGTTTTTTCCCAGGTACATTTTCCATCATCAATGAAAGTATCGGCATTACAGAAGCCATAATGTCTTACTTGAATAAAATTCGCGGTAGTCCGTAGTTTGACGCATAGCCATGAGATCTTGATATGTTTTGACGGGCAATACGGGGCTTGCCCACCGGCTTGTAGGGTTCTCGTAGATCCATCCTAGTTCAACAAGCATAGTGTTAAACTCCCGTAAGAATTGGCGAACATGCGGAGGATATTTGCGGGGCTTACATTTGCATGACTTGGCCCCCTCCTTCAAACGCACTTCGAGCGGCGGGACACGAGCAGGCGGATCGTCACGGAGCTTTAAGCGCCACACATCATACATGTGCACAATCACTCGCAATTTATCCACTTTGTCAGGTGGAAATCTATTCTTCAGGCCCTTTCAATTTGAACCTCAACGACAGCACGTACTTCTTCGTCACTGGCCATGTGGCTGGAATTTGCAGGGGGTTCGTCAACTTTCAACTCGAAAGGGTCTCCACTCGTTTCATCATCCACGTGAGAGGCAAGTTGCTCCAATTGACGGCCCACATCAATTCCTAAAGAAGTCAACAGGTCACGTCCGATGATAAATTCATCTTTATCCACATCCATAACTCATCAAAACTGTTTTGAAAGCCTCTTGCATTTTCAAGATCCCTATGATTTACAATAGTAGCCTCTTCATACTAACTTGCAGCACTTTACAATGCAAAGTTAACTCCATCCCACGACACTTGAGAATAACATCATTTTAAGCGTTTTACGTGATAAGGCTTCGCTCTAATATCTGTAATGTGCTTTTGTTTTCTGATGACTTTAACAGGTAAATAGAATACCATTTAGCATCAGCTCAAAGGATGTTTGGAATTACCTTTAGCCTTCAGGCCTCAAAAACGCTGAAGCAACAATTACCACATCAGAGCGCAAGACTGGCGAAAACACGCTGACAGTTTTATTGTACACGCAACTAGAAGAACTTTGACTAGCGCTACCTTGATATGGCAAAACCTGGCATCAATAATGAAGGCATAAAAGCCTCTGAAGCAGCAGAGCTACGACCCAACTGACATCAACCCTTACTCGTAAAGCAAACAGACAACATCAATAACTAGAAAATAGTAAGTTTCCATCATTTCTGTCCTTCTCACTTATGCGAGGCAAATTAAGCTAAAAACTCGTGTCTTAGCTCCAGCAATTAGGACTGTGACGGGGTCACACAGCACCTTGCGCTAGAGGAAGCTATCTTCCGAGAGTATACAAACTCTCAGTGAACGGCAGTTCACAGGTCTCTCTTTATTTCAAGAGAGCGAAGTGACCTAAATAAGGTAGATTGTAAACTGAGTATATTTATAGGTAGGCTAAGTTTGGGTTTAATACAAACTATAAGTTACCTATAGAAATGCAATGTCGTTTAACCAATGGTTGGCTTTGAACGACCTTGGTACTTTGTACCAAATATCGCGGAGTATGACGTGTTATACACCTGAAGTGTGAAGTGTCACGCCTCATGTAACCAGGGTACACTTAGGGCTACGTACCCCGTTACATCCCCCCCCACTTAGGTTCGGTTTACCGACTAATCAGAATGAAGAGGTGTTCGTCACAAACTCTCATTCTCAAAGTCGAAAACCATCGACTTGGCCGCGCGAGCGCGGCGGAGGCTCACTTCACAGTTAGAGCCTCGAGCAGCAACCTGTGCGCTCTTCGTCTAGGTCTCCAATTCGACCGTTACCATGCCTCGTGGCACTGCAAAGAGCGGTGCTAAGACACGCTCCAAGGCTGCTGCCGGTAAGGCGCAAGCCAAGAGCACTAAGCCTCACGGCAAAGGCTCGGCACTCAAGGAGGCTACTCAGGTGGCCTCCGAGGCGATCGGTTCCTCGGGTGATGCGCTGTGGACAAGCGCGCAAGCAAGCGCCGCAGTCCGTCGCCCTCATCTTCAGACAATCGTCCGAACCCTCGGTTCGTGGAACGTGAGCTCAACTCGGGCAGTGAGGACGATGCCGAGTCCGAGAGCACTCACGATGCTCCTGCGGGCTCTGTGGGAGGGCACAGCCCAGTGCCCCAGTGAGCACAAAGATGACAGCGTGCAGTCGCTCGCTAGTGATCAAGGTGATCACAGTCCCAGGACTTATGTGCGCTCCGAGAGTCCGGCCGCCAAGGCTAAGGGCGCTCCCAAAGCCGGTGGCGATGAGGAAGAGAATCCTCGCAAACGTCTCTCGCTTGCCGAGGGTCTTGCGCGTGCTAAGGCCTCTAAAGCCGAAGGTGTCAAGCCCTCAAAGAAGCGTACAGCCTCTAAGTCTCCACTCCGCGAGGAGAAGGAGACTCGTCGCTCCTATCGGGGTATCTTCGACTCCTCGGATGAAGAGGAGGAGAAGGAGGAAGAAGAGGAAGAGGAGGGTGCTATCGTTGAGCCCCGGGAGGTCTCGAATGACCTCGACCAGCAGCAGGAGGAGTTCTAAGCTGCCCAGCGTGTGCGTGGGGGTTCGGTGGTGGCACCCGTCAGCCAGGGAGCTGCCATCAACTCAAGAGGGTATTGGCCTCCCGAGGAGAGCTCTGGGGCTGACCTCTTCTTAGAGCTTCTCGTCGCTCCTCGTGGCGTTGTGGGCGGTCACACTTCTAGGGGCATCTATGAACGAGCCCTTGTTCAGAAAGAACAGTTGTTCGTTGACAACTTGATGTCTGCTCGGTGTGTGCTTCTCGCGCCACACCGCATTCCCCTTAAGAACTTCACGACTTGTCGTAAGAAGCCCGAGACCCGGGGTGGTCTCTATCCTCTTTGGGGATACCCCTGGGCTATGCCCGAGAGCTGTCCCACGTGGAGTTCTCGTGAGGACATGTTCTGGGCATGGGTGGGGACTCTTAAGTACTCACCCACGGAGTTACGGGAACTCCATGAAGATCAGCTGCTGTCCCGCATCCTGGACCAGCGTGATCTTCGTGTGAGGTTTGCCCACTTGATCAGCAAGCGCATGCTGCCAAGGGACATCCTGAAGCGCGCGGCTTCTAGCGCTCACGATGAGCGCGGTACGGAATGTATTCATCGTCCGTACCCCGTTCGGGTAAGAAGCCCGGACTACTTATGAAGCTGCCACCACTTCTGTTCCCAGATTGCGACAAGCCTTCGGGCAGTCAATCAGGAGCCGTTCAATCGGCTCCCATGAGTTCTCGGAGTGGGCATAACCCCTCCACTTCACGAGGAGCTGTCGCTTACCGCGACGCCGTTGCTACTGGAGGATCCGCTCCACGTGGAAGTGGACCTCTCCATTCCGGTCAAGCAGGGGCAGAGGTGCCCTCGTACGAGTACGAGTACTCGGCGCCTCCCGAAAGCCACTCTCGTCCGAGCGCTCCGACTGCGGGTCCGACACAGGGCCCTGAGGTTGCCCGCCTCCGTTAACGTGTCCTCGTGCTTGAGATTGCACTTGGCCTTGGGACTGGCGGTGATGCTTCCGCCCAGGTCGGGAATCAGGGCGAGCTCGCTCGTCTTGCGGGCCGCCTGGACCTGCTGGAGCGAGAGGTCGCGAGCCTGTACCTGCGGGTGGATCGCCGGGCCTCTTCGACCGATCTGGACGAGGCCTTTCGCATGCTCCGACGGATCGAGGCTTTGTTGCCACGTCCGGAGCCGCCTGCGGCACACTCCCAGACGTACGCGTATGGTGCGTACCCGGCGTACTCAGCGTACTCGGCGTATGGCGCCGGGGTCCGTTCGTATGGAGCCCCTCTGGCGTACGGTCTTGACCGCAGCCTTGCCGTCCCGACCGAGGCTTGGGTGCCTGCTCCGACGTCCTCGTCGACGACTGTGACCGGCCCTCGCTTCGAGGAGCTGGGTCAAGGGGGATCTGCGAGTCAGCAACCCCCTGCGGGTCAAAATACCGCTTAAGACGTCCGACATAGAACGTCTGGTGCGTCGTCATTGACTTTGGAAGGTCGATGGTGTACGACGCACCATGTCTGGCCAGGACTGCAAAAGGTCCGATGAAGCGGTGCTTCAGCTTGTTGCTGCCGACAGAGCTGACAGTGTCAAGAGGTAGGTTCCTCGTGTCTAGCAACACTAAGTCCCCAACCTCAAATATACTTAAGTTTCCTCTTCCATGTTTGTCTGAGTACTCCTTTTGTTTATCCTGGGCCGCTGCCATGACATCGCGGACCCTGCTGACAATGCTCAGCTTGGTATTCATAAAGGATTCCACCTGTTTCCGCAGCGAAACTGGTCTCACATCCGAGACCTGGGAGGAAAGGGCTTTCCGAGCCTCTCCCCCACTTAGAATAGAGGAGTCAGTGTCTCCTCGAAGAGTGAGAGGCACTCTGGGGTGGCGGAAGCCGTTCAAGTAGAGCCGCGTGAACCCCGTGGACGCGTGCACCGCGTTGTTGAGCGCAAACTCAACAACTGGAAGCTGCGTCGACCACGTACGTGGTGCTGCCGCGCACACACTGCGCAGAGTGTCCTCGAGCACTCGATTGACACGCTCTGTTTGGCCGTCTGTCTGCGGATAGTCCGCAGTGGACATCTGCAGACGAGTTACCAGTAAAGGGAACAGTGTTTTCCAAAACGCAGCAGTGAACCGCGGGTCTCGGTCCGAGCCAATCGTCTCCGGGAGACTGTGATAGCGGAACACGCCATCGACGAACAACCTTGCGGTTTGTTCGCCCGTAACAGTGACGGGAACTGGAGCAAGCTTGCTCAGCCGACACACGAACACCAAAATTCCGGTGTTGCCGTGTCCGTCGGCGGGAAGCCCAAAGATGAAGTCAAGACTCATCGACTTCCAACAGTCAGCCGGTACGAGCAGGCTCTGTAGTGGAGCCGAAGGGTGCCCTGTGGGTTTGACCCGCTAGCATGTTTCGCATGTCTTAACGTACCGGGCGACCCACTTGTACATGTGGGTCCACCAGAAGGACTGAGAGACCGACAGAACGGTCCTCTCGCGGCCCAAGTGGCCGCTGGAGGGCGCGTCATGCGCCTCTGCGAGGATATCGAACTTCAGATCCTCGTCGTTGGGTACGACCACCCTGGGAGGATCAGTGGGCTCCACCCGGTAATAGAGGAGGCCCTCCTTCAACTCGTATCGGTGGAAACGTGAGCGCTGTCGCGACGAGAGCCAGTCGGACTTCGCGCTCGTTCCGTCCATAAGGAAATTGACGATAGGCGCGACAGCCTCATCGTCCCGATACGCCATGCGTATCCGATCATATAGATCCGTTGTCACCCGCGTGATGTGGGCAACTCATAGTCGGGACGCCGAGAGAGGGCGTCCGCAAGCACGTTGAGCTTGCCCGGCTTGTATTCGACGCGTAAGTTGTATTCCGCGAAGAAGGACAGCCACCTCGCCATCATTTGGGAGAGGTGAGGCGAGTTAGTCGCCGTCCTCAAGGACGCGTGGTCAGTGTAGATCACAAAGGGCCTAGAGCCCAGAAGGTGAACACGAAACTTCACAAGGGCATATTTCATTGCCAGGAGCTCCTTGTCGTGGACAGGGTAGTTCCGCTCGGCGGCTTTTGAGCTGCCTGGACTGGAACGAGATGACTCGTTCATGTCCAGCCGTATCGGCCTGCAGCAATGCACATCCGATGGCGTAATCGGAGGCATCGCAGACGACGCTAAACGGCTTCGTCTT